TTGATAAATGTTACTTTTTTAAAGATTTTTCATGACTCAAATCAAAATTCTTAGTTAAAAAATAAAAAATCAGCTGGAAGAGTAACTTTTTTATTTTTTATTTTGATAGAGGATGAAAATGCGCTAAGAAAGAGGTAAACGTTGTTCAAATTCTCCCCACCGAGAGTTCACACTTGGCCTTATGATTTTCACTTAAGGCGAAAGCTATACCCATTAAACCTGTTTGAGAAATTATTATTTCAAGCGAGAACGTGCATATGACTTTTTGTTTCCATTTTCACTGTTACTATTCATAACATCGTGGCAGGTGCTCACTTTACTCGCGCTATTCCAAAATTTCTGGCCCCTTGAATATTTGATTTATCATTGAAAGCTTAAAATTAAGGCTGAGCTTGAGCTTTCGTTAGCTGGTGATGTGCGTGCACGCCGTCTGGGAAACATGTAAGAGGTGGCATGGAAACTTTAATTGCTACCAGAGAAGAATGCGTGTATGCGTATGGTTAAAAAAAATTTAAAAAAAGATGAGTATAGAGGAAGAAAATGCGAGGATGCCGTATACTTTATTTAATGGCAATAGATGTGCCGCCTTGAAACAAAGATTGGGACAAAATATGGAAGAGCTGTTATAGATATTGATGGATCAGTTTTTTTAAGTCATTGCTGAGGTAAACACGTTTTTTATCAGTGTAGCACTTCAAATTTTTATGTTACAGTTAAAAAAAAGATATAATACGTTTACTTTCCTATGCCAAAAAACCTACTTTTGAATATTATTTAGAGTCTGTTTTTAGCTTCTTTTTAAAAATAAAGAAAAAATGCCGGTTAAAAGTCTCAAAATTGACGTGGAAGTTTCAATACTAGCTGTATGTTTAATTTAAAAAATATTTTGGAAAATTCCATCATGTAACGATGCTTAAATTTTCAAACACCGTAAAATAGATGTGAGTAATAAAAGTATATTAGTAAAACAAGTAAATTACATATTTTCGTCATCGAATATAAACCTTTAGTAACCGTTGAAAACTTCCTTCGTACTTACTTGGTCTCATCGATAAAAACAGCTTCGAGCACACGAGCCGCATAGTGCAAATTTCGTTGCAGAAGTTCCGCGTTTATTTCACCGTGTTGTAATTTACGTAAAAGGCACCTCAGTCTGAAAGCAAAAGAAAATTATATACATATTATTATGAAGTTCATTATTATAATGTTTTTAAACAATTGAGAAAAATTGTTGATTAAAAAATATTATGTTAACTATAGGGTATTATTTATATCCATTTTTGACTAATTAAGATTATACTAGAAGTTTTGACTAGAATTATTTTTTCTATTAAACAAATAAATAGTTGAAGAGATATAACTTCACAAATATATAAAAAAATACGATATTAAAATTATAAAAAAGTATTCAACTAATGACTTAGTCAAAGAATAAATATAAAAAGGAGAAAATGAATTCGTAAATAAATAATAATCATAAATGGTAGATGAACATTACAGGTGTCATTTAACTTGCAATAAAAAAGTTGATGAAGCTTAGGAGAGTAATCATAGTTAAAAAATTTTTAATAAGTCAATTTGGTTAATTTTGTAAAAAGAATTCAAGTAACCCTAAAAACTATCATTGTACCCGAGAAATTTCATGAATTAAATAAACATTAAAAGTGAAATAATGATGAATCACGTTACTGGAGTACCAAAAAAATTAGAAACAAAAATAAACGACGTCACCAAGCCATAATCCAATCTAAAGCCAGTGGAGCGATTGTTCAAAAAGTTTACCCAAAAAATCTCAATCATCAGACCCTTTGTTTTCATCAAAACCACCCCAATCTTACATACACTCTCCATCCTGCCGTAAAAGGAGGATAAAAAGTTTTTCAGCTGAGCCCACGGACTCTGGACACTCGGAAGCTCGTTTTTTCTGAAGCTACGATGTCGCGTGCCTAAAACTCGACTAGAGCAACAAAATACAACAACACCCGTGGGAAAGAAAAACAAGAGGGCAGAGGTCCGTTCTTCGCTCCACCGAAGCTGTTTGTTATCCAAGCGCTACGGGTCCATCGTAGCGCTCTCGACTGGCATCTACGAGGGGAAGAAAAGCCAATGTAAGTAGACTTTATCCCGTAGTTGTTAGCAAAGCCGACCCCTCCCCCGCTTTTTTCCATCGGCATTTCGGGGCTGTATCTAGCTTTCACCACATCCTTGCGTCGCCAAGTGGCTGGCTCTGCTGCGCTAATTAAGAATCGAGAGGGTCAATTAAAAGAGTCAAGCTTGACTGCCGTTCTTTTTCCAAAGTAAAGTGTCCTGTAGAAAAAAAAGAGGGCGAAGGAACGAGCTATTGTACAACACGTGACTGAAATTCGAGGTGTCGCTTGGAAGGTGAGGGAAAGGCCGTCGGTAACATTTCTAGAAGCTTTTCGAGCGACACAGCTGAAATAACTCAACATTGTTAATTGAGAAAGATTCTGTCGTGCTCATTATCCGATTCATTTTTTAAGTGCAATTAGGAGTCTTTTTTGTGTGTACATACACGCCTCATAACCTGTTTAACATGTAGGTTGGCTTAAAGCGGATGGAGTTATTTGATGTATAGAGAATCCAAAGGATCGAAGCCATTTTTTCTATTTAAGGATATTTCTTTTTTTCAGACAAGTTTTCGTCGGAGGATGTATTTTTGTACGAGCTGGTTATTTAATTTTTTCTGAATGCCCGAAACACACCGGAATGATGAGGTAAACAGTGGTGGAGGCAAAATTAATCGATAATAGTGTTGATGTAGAAACGCGATCTAGTGCCCTGAAAATGGTTTCCTGAAAGCTATTGATTTGTCTCAGTTTTGTCCCAATGGATGGATGAGGCTTGCTTGTAATGTTGAAGTGAAAATACGAAAACAAGAGCACAACAGAACCTTTGAATAATTGTACGAGGTAAAATTATTTTAAATAAAATTATGTTATCTGATATGTGTATTATTAACTTTACGTATTATTAACACATTAAATTAAAATTAAAAAAAATAATAATAATAAATAAATAAATTGTGGACTAAAATATTGGAACCGCTGCAAGCAACGTGATATAATTTTTTTACTCATGTTATACACAAAGTCAATTGAATATTGATAAATGTTACTTTTTTAAAGATTTTTCATGACTCAAATCAAAATTCTTAGTTAAAAAATAAAAAATCAGCTGGAAGAGTAACTTTTTTATTTTTTATTTTGATAGAGGATGAAAATGCGCTAAGAAAGAGGTAAACGTTGTTCAAATTCTCCCCACCGAGAGTTCACACTTGGCCTTATGATTTTCACTTAAGGCGAAAGCTATACCCATTAAACCTGTTTGAGAAATTATTATTTCAAGCGAGAACGTGCATATGACTTTTTGTTTCCATTTTCACTGTTACTATTCATAACATCGTGGCAGGTGCTCACTTTACTCGCGCTATTCCAAAATTTCTGGCCCCTTGAATATTTGATTTATCATTGAAAGCTTAAAATTAAGGCTGAGCTTGAGCTTTCGTTAGCTGGTGATGTGCGTGCACGCCGTCTGGGAAACATGTAAGAGGTGGCATGGAAACTTTAATTGCTACCAGAGAAGAATGCGTGTATGCGTATGGTTAAAAAAAATTTAAAAAAAGATGAGTATAGAGGAAGAAAATGCGAGGATGCCGTATACTTTATTTAATGGCAATAGATGTGCCGCCTTGAAACAAAGATTGGGACAAAATATGGAAGAGCTGTTATAGATATTGATGGATCAGTTTTTTTAAGTCATTGCTGAGGTAAACACGTTTTTTATCAGTGTAGCACTTCAAATTTTTATGTTACAGTTAAAAAAAAGATATAATACGTTTACTTTCCTATGCCAAAAAACCTACTTTTGAATATTATTTAGAGTCTGTTTTTAGCTTCTTTTTAAAAATAAAGAAAAAATGCCGGTTAAAAGTCTCAAAATTGACGTGGAAGTTTCAATACTAGCTGTATGTTTAATTTAAAAAATATTTTGGAAAATTCCATCATGTAACGATGCTTAAATTTTCAAACACCGTAAAATAGATGTGAGTAATAAAAGTATATTAGTAAAACAAGTAAATTACATATTTTCGTCATCGAATATAAACCTTTAGTAACCGTTGAAAACTTCCTTCGTACTTACTTGGTCTCATCGATAAAAACAGCTTCGAGCACACGAGCCGCATAGTGCAAATTTCGTTGCAGAAGTTCCGCGTTTATTTCACCGTGTTGTAATTTACGTAAAAGGCACCTCAGTCTGAAAGCAAAAGAAAATTATATACATATTATTATGAAGTTCATTATTATAATGTTTTTAAACAATTGAGAAAAATTGTTGATTAAAAAATATTATGTTAACTATAGGGTATTATTTATATCCATTACTCGTACGCACATAAGAGATAATGATTTAAATAATAATTTTATTAATAAATACGAATAGTACTTTTATTTCTTTTTTTTTAAAACTAAAAATAAATCAAGGAATAGCAAAAAAAAACATATTTATTAATAAAAAAACAAAAACTGGTAAATTAATTAAAAATTAAGTCGTGGAGAAATGAGATAGTTAATCACATCAAGTTAAATTGGATCTGTTGAAACTTTTGCCGTGAACAAAAGATTGTGTACATTGCAACGTTCCTTTTGTATGATGAAATGAAATTTAGTATTGTACATTCAATATTTTGCTTTAATTAGAAAATCAAGAAATTCTTTTTTTTTAATTTACAATAGTTTTAAGAAATGAAAAAGATGTGATAATAAAGTACATAAAAATTAAATGATTCAATAATACGAAAATATATTGTCGCAAGAACAAAAAATAATATTTCAATTGATTTGCCATAAAAAAGGTGGATTCTAATGCCAACAAGGAGTCACAAATCGACGCAGCGATCAAAGACAGCGCTAACTCAAAATTGTTTTTAAAAAAGCTTTAACTCGAAAATCGGGTGTAATGTGAGTTAGCACTTTCTTCAAAGCAATTTCATGTTAGCGTTTTTTTGACCAAGCTGTCGTTATACTATTGAATTTTTTTTTAATACCGAGACTCATTAAAAACTTTTTATAACAAGAAATCCTGTATATACAAAAATGATTGGTAACGAAGTATCATTGTCTCGAAAAGAGTGGAGTAATTTTCCAAGTAAATTCTTGAAAATGATTTGCAATATATCTAATTCGTACCAAAATCGTGGCCTCCAACAAAGAAAATTTTTTCCGTATACCACACTTGGTATGAAAAATCATTAATCCTTACTAGATTAAGACGCACAAGACGAATAGCACCCTTACAAGTACAAATGGACACGAATCCCACGACGAAAAGAAAGAAAAGAAAAAACGAAGAAAAAAACCGGAGGTCCTTGCCCGCTTAATAAGGTAGCCGACATGAAATCCATCACTCGACAAAGGACGGGACAAAAGTCGTGTCCTGCGAGCCATCAGCGCGTCGTCGTTTCGACTGATCATTATCGATTTCGTTTCAACGCCCCCCTGATTATCCAAGGTTTCAGACACCCCAATCCGCTTACGAATAATCCCCTCACAGGAGAATATTTGTACGACATAAGTCAGCGCTAATTTGGTTCCGATAGATCAAGTGAGATACACGTGATGAGCTAAATTAATACACGTGAAAGCCCAGAGCTCGAAATCGTGGCTTCCAATGAACAGAGAAGCCTCGATGCTCTGCTGCAATACAGGTATACGTAGGCGAAGCTGTGCCGTTGAAGATAACATTATTTTACCACAACTATAGAGGGGATGCTCTTTCTGTGTCTGTATCGCAGTACCAGCGAAGGTAAGAGGCTCTTGCCTGTATTGTCCATTTCCCGCGGAATATAGAGGTTAATGGTAAATCAGACCGTGTACACGGTGCTATTGAAAAAAAAGTCTTACCTGAGGGCTGCCTTATCACAGGCATCCGGAGTGTCGACGGCGGGTAGAGAATCCGTCGTGAGATCCAGCCGATCGAGTATCTCGTCAAGATCGTCGACGGATTGGCCTCGGAGGTAGGCCTCGGGATTGTCGGAATGACCGGGACTCTCGAAGCTATCGCTGGTGTTCGTTTTACTTTTTGCGGAGCTTCGTCGGGTTATCGTCAGTGTGCCTTGTTCTGGAAAACACGATGAAATGTTACCGCGTTAGTCTTATTGTGCGATAAGCTTTTGAATTGGATACATTGAAATCTTTCGCCTAAACAGTTCAATGAGCATTTTTTCATTTGCAGAGCTATTTATTTCGAAAAAAAATATTAACAGTTCGTTTTATTGTAAAAAAGTCATTTTAGTGCTTGCATAGTATAATTCATACGTACACAACAAAGTCGAGCAAGCAAATTTAATTTTTAATGCTTTTCATTAAAATAGTTCAGCTTCCAGTATCAAATCGTCAAAATAACTCAAATAGATTGGTCTGCTTTTGGATAAAATTTTTTTTTATTTTTCGATTGTGTAAAGTTACAAAGAAAAAATTTTTCATCCAACAAAATGCTTATTAAGAAAACAAATTTTTTTTTCAAGCCCAAGACTTGTACAGATTTTAATTATCTGTAAGTAAACTAGCAAATTTCTGCTCTTTTTTATCGGTATAAATTAACAATGAGAAAAGGAGATATTGCAAGAGCAACAGTCGACAGAACGGAAAGAGAGTCGTCGAGCTCATGCGCGAGAGCCGCACTGCGTCTGGTCTTATCTTGGCTTTTTCACCGAGCTCGAGGGTCTTGCTGGCAAAGTGCCACGTCTGCCGAACCCCTAAATCCATTGCACTTGGTTGGCAGTGAAAAAATTCTTTCAAGCGTTCATTTATCTATGATTTACACTCAAATATGAATAACTCGGACCAGAAAAACTAGTTCATGCAAATAGTGGTACTGTTTTTGTTAAAAATCTGTTTTTCGTAACACAAAGTTGTAGAATCAGCTGCAGGCCTTACAGACAGCGTCACATCTACAGCAAACGCGATACAAAAGTAATTTTTATTACTTTTACTCACACGTTTTGAAATTTTAGTAATAATGCAAATTATTATCCGATGACACAAAACGTAAATTGTATAAATTTGGTTTAAGATTATTTATCGTAAAATACAGAAAATTACTACTTGTTAGTTTATAATACATCTGCATGTTTTGGATAAGATGCTTGTATGAAGATAACTATTTTATTTTATTTTATCTACGGTTGGGAGATCAGATAGAATTTACACAAAACTTAACATATTTTTAAACTCTATTTTATGTTCTGCGTGCCAAGAAGATAGTAAATTACACAGAGTGCAAAAAAATAAAATCTAGTAACCTCGTGATAGTAATCAATTTAATAATTAACAGAGTTCTTGATAAAGCTAATTTAGCCATTCTTCGACAGGTGTTTCACTTTGCCAAAAAGTTTGGGATCTGTTTACGAGAAACTTTCCATCGAAGAGAAGACGTTATTCTCAAAACCCTCATGGCCTATATTCGAGCAAAAGAGCAAAAAGTTGAAAGAAAAAAAAAACCCCAGAAACAGATCGAGAATAACGTGCAACAAGAGAGTGGTGGTCCGCGAAATACTCAAGTCTAAAAATTTTGCGATTCTTTTTTTCCTTTTATTTCCGTCCGAGACTTTATCCCCTCATCGCGCATGACCCACTTTGAATGTAATACCCATTGACGGGCTACAATCGACAGCCAGAACAGGGGGCGAAAAGTGTTTTTGAACTGTAAACGTCGCCAGTTACGGTCTCTCCTTTCCAAAGATTAGGCAGCTCATCGTACGCTCCTCACTACGTTTGTGTCCTTGTGCGAATCCAAAGACATCGATTCGAAGAAACTTGAAAAACGCCGCACAGACACTCAGATGGACCGTGGAAATTCGAATTTTTTTTTGTCACCTCCTTTCCATTTTTTTTGGTCTACTCGATGCTTTGTTTCCATCTCGTTTGAAGTGCAACATTTGAATTTATAAATTCGGTTTCCCCAAAAGGACTCGACATCGCGCTCGAGGGTACAAAAAACAGCGGGAGCTAATTAATTTTTCTCTCGCAATTGGAGAGCTTTTGCTCTGAAAATAACGTACCTATGCACGCTTGGATTGGATAAGCCAACATTTACGGGTACATGATTACATCCGAGCACAATATTGTGGCTTGGTCTCGCGAAACGAGGAGGTCTTTGAGAGTTTTTAATTAGCTTACGAGTTATTGCATTGTTCAGTTCCATAGGAGTAAGTTAACTCGCAAATATCTTGCAAAAGCAAGTTTTTCGTTTAGTTAGGCAAATCCTTTGTTTGTACGTTTGGTGAAACAAAAGAGTTCTACGTCCCGTGTAAATGTGCGCGTCTTCGTTCCACTTTCGCTTTCCATTCGAGTGGTGTAAGGAACATCTATCTCTCCACGGCGAATGTGAAAAGGAGTTCTATGCGCATACTGTGCGTGTTTGCATGCCCCACCCTCGTCTGACGTTGGCGACGACGCGAAAGTTGAACAGCTTACAACCCATATTTCTTCCGTCATGGTGTGTTTGCACAGAGGCTACACGTATAGGTACACAATTTTTATAAAGATTAAATCGTTATTACCATTGGGACATTTTTTATTTTATTTTTTTTTATATTTTTTTTTTAAAT